GTGCAACTATCAGGGAAACTGGCCACCCAGAGCCGAGAGAGGTCTGTGCTGTGGGCTTCACGTGCCACCCGAAGCCATGCTTGCTTATGATGTCAGTCCGTCCGCGAGAAGGTGGCGCGCGGTCAGACCCAGAGGTGGCCGGGGAAGGAACAGGCAGGCAGGCGGCCCTTGGCTCTTGGTTGATGGAGGGAGATTGGGTGGCCGTGTGGCCCGGTGGAAGGAACTGAGGATACATAGCCCAAGATGATTCTGGATCCAGACCTGCCACCGCCCCCACAACCCCCAGCGCCCACCGGCACAGCGCCAAGACCCAACTTCCAAGTTCTACGTTCCAAGTTCCGTCGGCTCCAGGCTCCATCGATCCAGGAACATCTTCTACGCTGGCAAGCGTGCCCTTCTCCCTTCTCCCATGGGCGGTGAGAGGCTTCACGAGGACGAATGGATGGCAGCACTGGCGGTGCGGATGGACTTCGGGGAGGGATGGAGTGGGGTGGGGTGGGGTGGGGTGGGGTGGGGTGGGGTGGGGTGGAGTGGGGTGGGGTGGGGTGGGATGGGATGAGAGCAGAACTGGGAGCCTAGGAGCCTGCGTTCCAAGTTCCTAAGAGTGAACCAAGATTCTTCCTGGCCCCCACCCACCAACACGCACACACGCACACACGCACGCACACGCACACACAGACGCGCGCGCGCGCGCACGTGAGCAAATGCACAGGTAAGTACGCAGGCTCACACAAACACTCCCTCTAACCCGCTGCCAGCCACCCTGCTGGTCTTCCTGGATTCTCTGGGAGGAGGGGGGATGTCCTGGGGAGATGGGGAGGACTAGGAGGAGGATGTGGATGAGGACGAAGAGGAGGACCAGAGAAAGGACCAGGAGGTGGAAGAGTGGCAGAGAGAGAGGAGGAGGAGGAGGAGGAGGAGTAGCGGGAGCAGAGGGAGGACGATTTGCAGGAGCAGGAGTCAACAGGTTCCCCCCAAGCGTGCCCCGCCCGAGGGTGATAGGATGACCGCCCTGCCCAGCGAGCACCCGATCCGATCCGTCCTGGCACCGCGCGGGAGAGCACCTGCAGGAGAGTATCTTCCCCCGTCTGGGAGGATGACAGAAGCCATCCCGACGCCTTGCCTGCGCCTTCCTGGGCACCTGCCCTGGAAGCCAGCGGTAGACGCTCATCGGGAAGAGAAAGCTGCAAAGCGCACTCCGCAGCCTGGGATGAGCCTCGCACCTCTCCTCTTCCGACGCCCGCACCCCCATTCGCACCCCTAACCCTGATCCCACGCCTGCTCCGCCGGGCACAGAAATGGCCTGCAGGTCAGAGGAGGGCTCCAATCCGCCCCGAGGCAAGGAGCTGCAGCTGGCTAGCTGCAGGGCAACAGGCCCCAGGTGGGGCGGGTCGGGGGTCGGGGTCCAAAGCCCTCCCCTGCCCTCCTGCCCTCCTGCCCTCCTGCCCTGGAAGGCCCCCCCGTAGGGTCCGAGCCGACACCCGTGGATTCCCCACGGGGGGAGCGAGAGGCGAGGCGCGTGCACACTGGAGCCGAGGCCGAGGGAAAGGGAGGAGCAGGCCCTGGGGGGCCAGCACACCTGGCGGGGGCAGGCACGGCTGGGGCCCGGTGAGGGTGCCCGATGAAGGGAGGGGAGTGGAGGTCCGTGGGGCGGGGGAGGAAAGGGTGGCAACGGCTGGCCCTGGGCCCCTGCTCCGGGCTGGGGCAGAGTGCTGAGGAGGGCCTAGGTGGCAGGCAGGGGGGCGGGAGCGCTGGCGCGGGGCTGGCTGAGGTTTGAGCCGGGCTCAGCTCAGGGCCGGTCGGTGGTGGGCTGGGCTCGGCTGGGCTCGGCCGGTGGCAGGCTGGCAAGCGCAGCAGCAGCCGCAGCAGCAGGCTGATGGGGCGTCGCGGCGACAGCCGCCCTCGTCTACGGCCATACCACCCTGAACGCGCCCGATCTCGTCTGATCTCGGAAGCTAAGCAGGGTCGGGCCTGGTTAGTACTTGGATGGGAGACCGCCTGGGAATACCGGGTGCTGTAGGCTTTTTGGCTGCCCTTTTGGCCCTTTGGGGCCTTCAAGGCCGGCGGGCCGAGAGCCAGCACTGGCCAGGACACCCCCATCCATCCGCACCCCGGAAACAGCCCCTCCCCACCACACCCCCAGCCCACCGCCACAACCTTCGAAATTCACCCACCGCTCAGAGCCCTCAGGCGGGCAGGAAACCCACGAGGAGGGAGGGCAAACCCCCGAGTGGGAATCCCAGAAGCACCCAGGCTGAGAACCGCCTGCTACAGGTTGTCTGCATATGGGCGTGCTTGTGTGTGTGTGTGTGTGTGTGTGTGTGTGTGTCTGTCTGTCTGTCTGTCTGTCTGTCTGTCTGTCTGTCTGTGTAGGCACCGATCCCTTCCCTCCGTGCATGCTTGTGTTTCAGCGTGCTTGCGTGCATAGGAGAGTGTGTGCCTGTCAGTCTGTCTGTGTGTGTGTGTGTTGTGTGCCTGTAGGCCCCGTTGGGAGTGCAGCACACGCAGGGGTGCCCTCTGCGACTCCCATGGGAAGGTGGGTGTGGGTGGCTGTGCGAGCCATGATGGGATCGGACGGGCCACGGGCCACGGTACGGTATGGGACGGGACGCAAGATGTCAACAGTTGGAGGCTTCTTGACTCGAGAGCATGGAAGCTCCTGGCTCAGGGCAAGAGAAAGTCACGCACGGTTCGGGTGCTGTTCCACTAAGCCGGTGCAACTATCAGGGAAACTGGCCACCCAGAGCCGAGAGAGGTCTGTGCTGTGGGCTTCACGTGCCACCCGAAGCCATGCTTGCTTATGATGTCAGTCCGTCCGCGAGAAGGTGGCGCGCGGTCAGACCCAGAGGTGGCCGGGGAAGGAACAGGCAGGCAGGCGGCCCTTGGCTCTTGGTTGATGGAGGGAGATTGGGTGGCCGTGTGGCCCGGTGGAAGGAACTGAGGATACATAGCCCAAGATGATTCTGGATCCAGACCTGCCACCGCCCCCACAACCCCCAGCGCCCACCGGCACAGCGCCAAGACCCAACTTCCAAGTTCTACGTTCCAAGTTCCGTCGGCTCCAGGCTCCATCGATCCAGGAACATCTTCTACGCTGGCAAGCGTGCCCTTCTCCCTTCTCCCATGGGCGGTGAGAGGCTTCACGAGGACGAATGGATGGCAGCACTGGCGGTGCGGATGGACTTCGGGGAGGGATGGAGTGGGGTGGGGTGGGGGTGGGGTGGGGTGGGGTGGGGTGGGGTGGAGTGGGGTGGGGTGGGGTGGGATGGGATGAGAGCAGAACTGGGAGCCTAGGAGCCTGCGTTCCAAGTTCCTAAGAGTGAACCAAGATTCTTCCTGGCCCCCACCCACCAACACGCACACACGCACACACGCACGCACACGCACACACAGACGCGCGCGCGCGCGCACGTGAGCAAATGCACAGGTAAGTACGCAGGCTCACACAAACACTCCCTCTAACCCGCTGCCAGCCACCCTGCTGGTCTTCCTGGATTCTCTGGGAGGAGGGGGGATGTCCTGGGGGAGATGGGGAGGACTAGGAGGAGGATGTGGATGAGGACGAAGAGGAGGACCAGAGAAAGGACCAGGAGGTGGAAGAGTGGCAGAGAGAGAGGAGGAGGAGGAGGAGGAGGAGGAGTAGCGGGAGCAGAGGGAGGACGATTTGCAGGAGCAGGAGTCAACAGGTTCCCCCCAAGCGTGCCCCGCCCGAGGGTGATAGGATGACCGCCCTGCCCAGCGAGCACCCGATCCGATCCGTCCTGGCACCGCGCGGGAGAGCATCTTCCCCCGTCTGGGAGGATGACAGAAGCCATCCCGACGCCTTGCCTGCGCCTTCCTGGGCACCTGCCCTGGAAGCCAGCGGTAGACGCTCATGGGGAAGAGAAAGCGGCAAAGCGCACTCCGCAGCCTGGGATGAGCCTCGAACCTCTCCTCTTCCGACGCCCACCCCCCCCCACCCGCACCCCCATTCGCACCCCTAACCCTGATCCCACGCCTGCTCCGCCGGGCACAGAAATGGCCTGCAGGTCAGAGGAGGGCTCCAATCCGCCCCGAGGCAAGGAGCTGCAGCTGGCTAGTGCAGGGCAACAGGCCCCAGGTGGGGCGGGTCGGGGGTCGGTGTCCATAGCCCTCCCCTGCCCTCCTACCCTGGAATGTGGCATGAGGTCAGATGCAGAGGTGAGTGGTAGGGTGGTTTGGCATGGAGCGTGCTGGGGTGGGGTGAGTGCTGAAATTTTAGCCGAGCAGCCTCAATTCCAATTTTCTAAGAGTGAACCCAAAATCTTCTCTTTGGATCTCTTATTTTCCTGTGAACAACTCTCGTTTCCTTTCTGTTTTTCAATAACCATTCATTGTCTAGCTCTTTTGGAGGCTTCTCCTGGCTTTTTCCATACAGCCCCATGAAGAACCAGACTCCTCTTACCCCTTCAGTCTTCCGGTTCCCTGTGCCCAGGCAGGCCACTGGCAGCCTCTTCGACAGGGCCTTAAATAATTGAATCTAGTTGCTGCCTGTGCTCATTTTCATATTGAACAGATTCATGAATATCAGACTCCATGGAGCTATCAAAAGAAGACTCATCCCATCCTCAGTCCTCAGGAAGGTTATGGAGAGTCTTATAAATTTCACAAGTCCCTGCTTTTGAGCACATCGCTCTATACCACCTACCAGGGGAGGTTGTACAGAGCCTGGCCTAGAAGAAGCCTGCCAGTCCTCTCTGGCTCTGCCCAGCCAAGTCAAGAACACCGACTTCTTGTTCAACAAAGGACAGTGAGTTTCCCTCTTGCTGGAGAGGTTAGTACTCAGAGGTAACTTAGAGAAAGGACTGCAGAGGTTGGAGGCAGGACTCAAAGGGGAAAGTGTGACACAAACTAGGCAGTAGACGAAAACAAGTAGACAAAAGAGACCTTAACAGAAGCCTAGAAGACACTTCTTCCCAACAAAGACAGAAAACAAAGGAAATGTGGAAATTTTTCCTTGCTGATGAAGTCTTCATAACAAAAACTTGCTGTTTGTGGAGTAGAATAGGTATCATTTGCAAAGTAGGGCAGGCAAGGTCTAAAGGCAAAAGCCCCCAGACGGTGGCTATGTAGGGGCACCCACAAGTCCGGCAGGGCCCTGTCCCAGTGTCTGTCCAATCACTGCTGTCTCCAGGGGCTTGAATCCCACATTGTCCAGGGGGATCCCAAAGGCCAATAACTTCGCCTCATATGTACGCAACAGGTCATTGTGGGCCTGAAAGGACAGAGCAATGTTAGGGAGAAAAGGAGTCTATTCTGCCCTGGGAACCATAGTCAACATGCTATGGCCCACCCAGAGACAGGCTCCATCCCATGGACGGTAGAGTAGGAGATCTGGGCCAAGCATTTGTCAATGGTTTGTTCTGTGCTAGAGCAGTGCTGATGCCTTTATGTCATTAACTCAAATCACTCACAATAAGGACCAACTCAGAAGAACTGAGACTTGGGTGGACTCCTGGCTCTTTAGTAAGTACTTCCCAGGGAGGGTCTCTATCCCTTCCCTGCCTCTGAAAAGTCAACCCAGTGACTCTGCAGAGGCTACATGTGGAGGTCCCTGGCTGGACCTTAGAAACTGTGCTGTTGGAGCCAACAACACCAATACCCCCCTTCCTTTCTGTTAATCCTGTGCTGTTCCGTGTTTTCATTTTTGACTTGGAAAAGGCCACATCATATAGCCCAGGCTGGCTAGAACTTGCTATTTCTCCCAGAACAGCCTAGCACTCAAAATCTCACTGCTTCAAGGGAAAGTCAGTTTTCTCCTGCAGTGTTACTGGGCAAGGCAACCACATTCTAGGGCAGGTTCCTTGACCTCGGGTAACTGACCAACATAAAACAAACTCTATTTGTGAGTGTGTGTGTGTCTGTGTCATATTTTTTGTCATATTTTTTTTTTGGCATTTATTTGTTTGTTTGCCTTATTGGTCTTTTAGGTTTTTTCATTTTTATGGGTTCTATTTATTGTTTTTGTTTTTGAAAGAGAGAGAAAGAAAATAAAGATGAGTGGGTAGGGAGGAGTTGGGGGAAAGAAAGGAACATGATCAAAATACAGTGTGTAAAATTTCTTAATTAAAAAACCCTGCTAGAGGGCTGGAGAGATGGCTCAGAGGTTAAGAGCTTTGAATGTACTTCCTGAGGACCTGGGTTCAATTCCCAGCAACCACATAGTGGCTCACAACCATCTATAATCAGATCTGGTGCCCTATTCTGGCCTGCAGGGGATACATGTAGGCAGAATGTTGTATACGGAATAAATAAATAAATCTTAAAAAAAAAAAAAAAAAAAAAAAAAAAGTGCTAGAGCCAGGTGTTGGTGGTGCTCATCTTTTATCCCAGCACTCAGGAGGCAGAAGCAGGTGAGTCCGAGGCCAGCCTGGTCTACAAGAGCTAGTTCCAGGACATCTTCCGAAACTACAGAGAAACCCTGTCTCAAGCAACAAAATTAAAAAAAAAAAAAAAAAAAAAAAAAAAAACAAAAAACCCTGCTGAGTGCTAAGCTTCCAAGCATACACCAACACACCTTGCTTTTTTTTTTTTTTTTTTTGCCATTGATGTCCTGGAACTTGCTATTTGGACCAGACTTGCCTATAATTTACCAAGAATCACCTGTCTCTGCCTCCTGAGTGGCAGCATTAAAGGGTGTACACCACACCCAGCTCAAAAAAATCATGTCTAGTACTTTTTATTGTTACTATATATGCATGTGGGTATATGTATGGGAAGATACACATATGTGCAGTCACCCAAAGAGGCCAGAAAAAGAAAGTCAGATCTTTGGAGCAGAAGTTACAGGCATCTGTGAGCCACCCAATGTGGATGCTGGGAACTACACTCCAATGTTCTTAACCAATGAGCCATCTTTCCAACTCCCAAAATGCACTTTTTGCTGGTTTGTTTTTCAAGACAGCATTTTTCTGTGTAGCCCTGGATGTATGGAACTTGCTCTATAGACCAGGCTAGTCTCACACTCAGATCTGCCCCTGCCTCTGTCTCCCAACTACTGGGACTAAAGGGGTATACCACCATAGCACAACTAAAATGCACATTTTTAATTGGGAAAATTTCACTAGGTGGTTGTAAAGAATGAATTTTTTATAGTTTGCCTAAGACAGGGTCTCACCTTGTAGCCTAGGCTGCCTTTGAATTAATGTTCCTCCTGCCTCAGTGCTAGGATTATGGATGTTGATGAGCTGAATGAAATGAGAATGCCTGCAGTTTGTGAGCCTCATAGCAAATTTCCAAAAGGGTCACTAGCTAGGACTAAGTGCACACCTGTAATCCCTGCACTTAGGCAGAGGCACACGGATCCTGGTCCTCACAGTGAGTGCACCAGCCAGGGTTATATAATAGGACTATTACTCAAAAGCAAAAAGGTTTGTTATCCCCACTGTGGTTTAATGAACAGAACTAATCCTTGAAAGGAATAGAGAGAAAAAGGTAAATAAGGATGGGCTCCAGAGAGAACTCAGAGGCTGTTCTCTGGTTACCAGACACCACAGGTTCAGACTCCTTGATCAGACAGAAGCCAAAGATATCCCCAGTCCCCAAGAGCTGTACACACAGCAGATATCCCTAATTTTGCTCAGCCATGTCAGTTGAGGGACAGGTGTGAGAAGGAAAGCTCTAGCCTGACCTCTGGTGAGGGCCGGGAAGCCAGGGCAGCTTGAGCAGCATGGAATCTGGGAAGCAGTAACAGATACTGCCGACCTACGTCTAGGGTTAACTGTTTTTGTTTTTTGAGATAGGGTTTCTCTGTGTAGCCCTGGTTGCCTTGGAACTCAGAGATCTGCTTGCCTCCAGAGTGAGGGGGTTAAGGTGTGCACCACCACTGCCCAGCCAAACAAATATTTTTAAGAAATAAAACAAGATGACATAAATGTCGGAATAAGGCCCTAAACAACAAACAGGGATGCGGTGCCTGCCCCACATAGTTAAGGATGTGACTTGTGGAGTGGCTGCTTTTGGTAAATCCTTGGTCAGACAGTAGGTAAAGCACAGGCAGAACAGTCCACTTAAGGACCATCTAGACATACAACTCAGGCCTCTCTCGGGTGCACGGGACAGATGGCAGCTAGGGTCCAGTGGGAGTCTGTAGATACACATGTCAGCATGAAAGGATACTGAACTATTTTAGATTCATGAAGGTAACCAAAAGGTGAGAGACTTACTGCCGTGACATTAATCTAAAAGAGCAGAGAGACTTTTCCAACTGCCTGCCTGAGAGACCAAGTGAGCAAAGAAGGGTGAGAGGCAGACAGATTTGAACATGGTAGGTGACAGAGTCCTAAGTGTGTACCAGGCAGCCTATAAACAATGCTAGGACTAGGTCACTCTCAGGCCCTAAGGCTATAAGGATATAGCACATGGGGATTACCATACCTACCCTCTGAATGAAATATGCAGAAGAAATGAGAGAGGTCCTCAGGGACCCTTCATCTAGAAGGTTCACAAGCTGAAGCTGGATACGTGGGCACAATTCTATGGGAGGAGACAGCCCTGCGGGAGAAGGTGGGGCTCTGGGGATGGGGGGAATTAGCCATACCTTGCAGACCCGGGCCAGCTCATACTGTAAGTCCTTGATGGTGGTATTCTTTGATTCTAGAACATCCTAAGAAGAGAGACAAGGGTGACTTTAATATTCGTCATCTGATAGAAGTGGACAGGTAGATACTAGTCTTAAGATTGGAAAGGCTCAGGGAATAGTAGTATAGGTTACCTCAGCCCATACATGTATCCATACAAGTTTGTCAGCAGGAAAGGTATCCAAGGTATAAGCAAGAACAACAGTAGTGTCTTTGTATTGCCTAATCCTTACAATGAAGCATCAGACTGCCAAGATGAAACAGCAGTTGGTGTGTGTGTGTGTGTGTGTGTGTGTGTTTATGTGTGTGTTTGACATAGGACAGAGATCAACATTGGGTGTCATCCTCTATTGCTCTCCATCTTTTGTTTTGTTATTAAGACAAGGTTTCTCTGTGTAGCCCTTGTTATCCTAGAATTCGCTCTGTAGGCCAGGCTGGCCTCAAACTCACAGAGGACTGCATGCTTCTTCCTCCTGAGTGCTGGGATTAAAGGTGTGCATCACCACCACCTAGACTATAGGGAGGGCGTTTTCTTAATGACTGATGCAGAAGGGCCCCACTCACTGTGGTTGGCACCGTCCCTGGGCAGGTGATCCTGGATGGTATACCAGGGATGAGATAAGACAACAGGTTAATAGGACAGTCAGGGCTACACATTGAAATCCTGTCTCAAAAATCCAAACCAAACCAAAACAAAACAAAACAAAAGCAGATTGAGCAAATATGAGGAGCAAGCAAGTAAACAGCATTCCTCTGTGGCTTCTGCTTCAATTTCTACTCCCAGGTTCCTGCTCTGACTTCCTTCAGTGATGCACTGTAATGTAGAAATGTTAAGTGTAGGCAGAAGTTTCTTTCTTACCAGCAACCCCCAAATATCCAGCAGCTGCTTTATAAGTAATTTATATTACTTATAAATGCTCAGCCAGTAGTTTATTACTAACTAACTATTACACTTAAATGAACCCATAATTCTTATCTATGTTTAGCCATATGGTTTGTTATCTTTTATCAGTAAGGCATTCTCATCTTGTTTCCTCTGTGTCTGGCTGGTGACTCTGTGACTCTGCCATTCCTTTTCCCAGAATTCTTAGTTTGGTCACCCTGCCTATACTTCCTACCTGGCTACAATGTTTTATTAAACCAGTTTGAGTGGCAAATCTTTACAGTGCATTTCCCCCTTTTGTCCAATTAAAAAAGGAGGTTTTAACTTAACATAGAAAGATTATATACAACAAAAACTGTTATTAAGAATTACAGTAACACGCCAGGTGGTGGCGTCGCACACCTTTTATCCCAGCATTCAGGAGACATAGGCAGACTGATTTATGTGAGTTTAAGACTAGCCTGATCTACAGAGCAAGTTCCAGGATAGCCAGGACTACATAAGAAACCCTGTCTCAAAAAACTAAAAAGAATTACAGTAACACTACCTACTCCATGTGTATTTGGCAAAGTTAGAGAAAATACTTAATTACACCACATGTAAGTGAAATAAACCCTTTCTCCCAAATTATTTTCAGTCATGATATTTTTGAGAAAGCTCAAATTCAGGTGCACACACCACCACAGCCAGCTTTTCATGTAGGTGCTGGGGATGCAAACTTTGGTCCTCAAGGCTTTTCCTACTAAACCATCTTCCCAGGCCCTATTTTTTTTTTTTTTGTATGTTTAGTTTTCATTTTGTGTTTGTTTTTGGAGCAGGGTTTTTCTGTGTAGCCCTATAGCCCTGGCTGTCCTGAAACTCATACTGTGCACCAGGCTAGCCTGCCTCACACTCACAGAGATCCACCTGCCTCTGTTTCCAAGCACTGGGATGAAAGGTGTGTGTCACCACTGCCTGGCCCTAATTGTTTTTAAAGAAAAAAATCATTGTATAAGTTTTAAAACCCTACAGTTACTGGGTAGTGGAATTCACCAGCAAGATGACAAAGAAATGGGACACACAGTACTGAGCAGAGGTAATGAACCACATGGTAGAATGCAGATTAATATAAACAGGTTCATTTAAGTCATAAGAGCTAGTTGGGAACAAGCCTAAGCTAAGGCAAGGCTTCTATAATTATTAAGAAGCCTGAATCATTATTTGGGAGCTGGCAGTCCAAAACAAGTCTGACTATAGACTAAGGCTTGGCACACACTATGACTATGGCCAAACAGGGACATCAGAGACTCAGGTTAGGGATAGGGTTAGTGAGGAGCTGGGACAACTCAGGAGAGACCACAAAGCTGGTGTGGTACATGCCCTTAATTTAATGCCAGCATTCATGAGGCAGAAGAAGGCAGATGTCTATGACTCTGGGGCCAGCTGGGTCTAGATAGTGAAATTCCTGTCTCAAAAATAGAGAGAGGTAGGGGCAGGGAGCAAAACTGGAAGAGGACCATTCCAGTGTACAAGGGCCTATAGCACATGCTCTGTTCTCAGATGCAGAAACCATGGCAGCCCCTGACTTAACTGAGGGATCTCTGTGCCACCCAAGAAGGCAAAGCACAGGACTAAAAGACCCACTGTGGAAAACAAACACCGTGATTCACAAGGCTATCAGCACCTACCTCAAGTTTGCGGGACACAAGCGTTAGTGCTGCAGGATCCAAGTTGGAGGCTGCCAGCACCTCGTTGAACTGCACCTCTCTCTTCTCCACAGCAGCATTCAGTGCCTGCAGTTTACGCTCCAACACTAGGTTCTTGAAGCCTGTCTTTTGTTGCACCTCCTGGATGGCTGCAGTGAACTTACGGTAGAGCTCGTCTCTCTCCTGCTGTACCTGGGGACAATAAGTCTGGAGTGAGCAACAAGGACCCTCACATGAGATATCACTTTAGGGAGAAACCACTTCCCACCCTGCCCTAAGTATGTTGCTTCTGTAGAAGGGTCACGTTCACTACAGCCACACCCATGGCACTTGGGCATTTGCTGTCCACACTGCCTGCACTATACCCTACATGCACAGAATGGAAAGTTTGTAGTTTAGCACATAGCAGAAGGTAAGCAAAGGGAGACAGCATTACCATTTATCCTAGTTAGGGTCACTATTGCTCTGATGAAACACCATGATCAAGCAACTTGGAGAGGAAAGGGCTTATTTAGCTCATACTTCTATATTGTAATCCATCATTGAAGGAAGTCAAAAATAAGAACTCAAGTAGGACAGGAACCTAGAGGCAGGAATTGATGTAGAGGCCATGGAGGGTGCTGCTTGCTGGCTTGCTCCTCATGGCTTGCTCAGTCTGCTTCCTTATAGAATCCAGGACCACCAGTCCAAGGACAGCACCACACATTTAGACCCAAGCCTTAGAAGAACTGAAGCCATAGCACAAAGACTGGAGCAAGATACAGCCCGCAACCCCCTCCCAAGTCCACACTGTCCCTGACCTTAGCCCTAGTTACAGGAAAAACCATGGACACCAACAATACCCCCCCAAAAATTAAAAGCTACAGTATAAACAAAGTGATATTTTATTCCTAATAATAAGAGGGCTTTCACATGTGAAGAGAACAGGAAAGAGTTTAGAAATGTTTAGATTAGCAGCCTTTGGGAATTCAGGTTAAAGGATGTTGGTTTTGTTTATCAAAGTCATAAGATGCAATTATTTATTAATTAATTTATTTTGAGATAGATTCTCCTCATGTACTATGGATTTTTTTTCTTTCTTCATTTTTATTGGGTTTTTTTTTGAGTCAGGGCTGTTACACAGCCCTGACTGTCCTGGAACTCCTTTGTAGACCAGGCTGGCCCCGAACTTACAGCATTCACCTGCCTCTGCCTCCTGAGCGCTGGGATTAAAAACATGCACCACTACCACCTGGCTCTCCATGGTTTCTTTATAATAGATAGGCAGTAAGTGAATACTAAGAAATGTACAACACAGATGAAATCATAGGGGCCAAGCCTCCTCCACAAACTGATAGGAATTCTGGTTCTCATGAGGTCTGGGGCCTTCTACAAAATATACCACAGGTTTTTGCCTCATAGAAGTTGCATGCATGCTGGGTGGTGGTGATGCACATCTTTAATCCCAGCACTTGGGAGGCAGAGGCAGGCAGATCTCTGTGAGTTTGAGGCCAGCCTGGTCTACAGAATGAGTTTCAGGACAGCTAAGGATACACAAAAAAATCCTGTCTCAAAAAATAGAAACCAAAAACAAAACAAAAGTTGTGTGCACACACACCTATAATTCCAGCTACTCAGAAGGATAAATTAGGAGGATGCCAGATCATCCCAGGAGTTCATGACCAGGCTGAATGAGACAGTGACCCTATTTACAAACAAACAACAAAAATGTAGATTAGGAGTAGGCAGGAGGAACCTCTAGCTCCCAAAACCAGGCATCCACACCTGCTCACCTTGATGAACCGCTGCTCCAGTACCTCATGCTCCCACTGCAGGTCTTTCAGCTCCTTCTCGGCAACCTTTAAACGTGCCTTTGTACACTGCAGAGAAATTAGGGAGTAGGGGACATAAAATACTTAGGATTCACAGACACTCACATGCCACAGACTCCTGGAGACAGCACAGCCAGAAAAAAAAACCATCAGGAACAACTGGTTGGAAGATTCCTGCAGCTGGGCCCCACCTCAGCTATGAGTGGAATGTGTGCAAAACCAGAGTCTGGTCTACAATAGCGCCCACCTACTTATAGCTCCAGAAGAGTCCAAGAACAACAGGGTCCAGCGTCACCATGCCTCCCTTTCTTGGACTAAGGAGAAGTCCCGCTCACATAGGCCTCAAGAGACATCCCCTAATATGCCTTCCCTCCTGGGCCCAGAAGGGAGGGGAAGATGCTTAAAAGGAAAGAAAAGAATTCAGAGGAAACTCACAACCAGGATCTGCTTGTCCCGTTCATAGTTTCCAATCCTCTTCTGCATCTCATTCATCTCATCTTTCGCTCTCTGCAGAGGGTCTGCCAGCCGCTTGTTCTGCAGAGACACCTCTGCCATCTCCCTCTCCAGGTGCTCCTCTTTCTTCCGCATGTCCTCCATCTGTTCCTATTAGCACAGTGCACGTACAGGGCCTTGGCCTGGGAGCATTGGCCAAATGCCCTCAATATTATTTTATTGATTATTAGTGTTTGATATGTGTGAGTGTGGATGTGCATGCCACAGTACACTGTAGAGGTCAGAGGACAGCTTTCAGGAGTTAATTCTCTCCTTCCACTACGGGTTCTAGGGCTCCAACTCAGGTTATCAGGTTTGCATGGCAAGCACTTTCACTCACTGAACCACTTCGCTGGTACTTTTTGTTTTTTAAGACAATGGCTCCCTAATCAGCCTTGGCTAGCTTTGAACTTGTTCTCTTCCTGCCTCTATCTCTTCAGCACTGGGATTACAGGTTTGTGCCACCATATCCAGTTATGGATACCCTCAAGGAAAAACAGATCCTGAGGCAGGCATGGTGGCACACACCTTTAATCTCAGCCCTCAGGAGGCAGAGGCAGAGGCAGGTGGATTTCTGAGAGTTTGAGGCCAGCATGGTTACATGGTGAGTTCTAGGACATCTATAACTACACAATGAGGCCCTGTGTCAAAGGGCCAGCCAGTCACATGCATGCTGAGAGTCTAGTCCTATTTTCATATAAGCGGTATTTCCGCAGTCTTGACATCTTCTGAATTATCTAAGAATAGAACTTCCATGAAAACTGAGAGGTTGCATTTGTTTAGACCAAAGGCAGTTCTCTACTGTGGAGATCCTGTCAGCATCAGGGTTATGTGTCTCCAGTCACCAAGCAGTGATTGATGGGGTAAACTCCTGACACCATCCTGTCTGCACCCACACACGTTAATAACAACTGCTAAGTGTGGCCACACTCCAGCTGACACATATTGCCTACTGTAGCCCTGCCTAGGCTTTTTCAAGTCAGGACACCTTTAATTTTATCTGAGAGTAATAAAGGAACACTGTCCAATATTGTAGAAGGGGATGTTAGATCTGGTGGAACTGAAGTCTAGGTCTGCATCCTGGGCCCTGAGCATGTCTCCCAGACCACATCAGTACCTTGAGGGAATTGATTAGTGCCAGGTTGTTAAGAGTGATGTCATTGTAGTAGTTCTTGATATCAGTGAAGGCCTCCTCATGACGCTGCATCAGCGTACTGATCTGGCCATTCTTCCTCTCCTCCACCTCATGGATCTCAGTCTTTCTTCGAAGGTCAAGCTCATCTCTCAACATCTTCATTTTCTTATCATACTTGGCCTCAATTTCTGAAAGGCAACAGCACACACAGCAGCTTAGAACAGGTGACCCAAAGCCACAAGAAAAGATGGAACCAATAAACAGTGCTCAAGAATACTGGTCAGGGTCAGAATGCAAGCTGCACAGGCAACTCTGCCGGAGTCAGGTGGGCTTTGGTGGAACTTCTCCTGCAAGTGACATATGCAGCACATAGGCCACTGTCACCTTTCCTCTGTCTATGATAATCAACGCTTGCAGTGGGTGTCCCACACTAATCTCAGTGCACACTAACCATAGCCTATGTGGCTGTCTAGCCACGCACTATAGGGCTCAGTCAATACAGCAGATGGACTTCTGACATGGATGGCTTTGCAATCCAGGAGCTAAGGAGAAGCTGGAACAGAGTGCTACATGCTGCTAATGGCTGGCTTTAGACAGAAATGGAGACACGAGTGGTAACCACAGCTTCCCAAATTCACATGGGAATGACTTTTTCTATGGCTCTGAATGAATATGTTGACTTCAGAAATATTCCCTTTTGATCCAGGCATGGTGACACACACCTGTAATCCCAGCACTAGGAAGGCAGAGGTAGGTGGCTCTCTATGAGTTTGAGGCCACCCTGGTCTACAAAGTGAGTTGCGGGACAGCCAAGGATACACAAAGAAACCCTGTCTCAAAAAAACAAAAACAAAAATCTTACTTTCTGTCTCTCCTCTCTCCACTGTCTGTCTGTCTCTGTTTGTATGTGTGTGTGAGACAGAGAGAGAGATAGAGAGAGAGACAGAGAGAGAGGTAGAGAGACTGAGCTGCTTTTATATGGTTTATGTGCCCTAAGTTACCAAGCAGTGATGGGAGGGTTCCCTGACACCATCCTACACCCTGTACATCTGCGAAACTGACCTCGAACTTGCCTTTCAAAGTCATTTCGCATCTTGGTGATCTCCTCAGCATGTTTCTGCACAAATGAGAAGGTGATATTACTAGAAAGCCAGACAGAAAGGCCCATGACCCTACTACCTGTAGGAAAATTCAGTTTAGTAACCCCTGTGCTGTTACTGCTTCCTGGACTCTCCTTACCTCCATATCATAGAGTATGCCCAATAACACGGCTTGGAGAACCTCCACATTTCAAATATGACTTGCTTCCCTCAGGGGAGTCACCTCTGCATCTGACAGGCAGTGAGCACTGTACATGGTTGGGTTCCTCATCCAACCTTTCCAAAGCCAGAATCAGCAGTCACATCTACATGGATGACAGGCTCCCTCCAGGAGCCTTACAAAGCTCCTGCTAGCCTGCCTCACTATTGCTTAGCACAGATGATGATTATTCTGATTTTTTTGAGACAGGGTTTCTCTGCGTAGCCCTGGCTGTCCTGGAACTTGCTCTGTAGAGCAGGCTGGCCTCTGCCTCCTGTGCACCACATCACCCAGCTCAGAGATTATTTCAATAAGCAGTTACATGCTACAATTTTTTGTAAGATTTATTATCTAATTATTATTTGATTTTATGTGAGCAAGTATTATGTCTACACCATCTGCATGCCTGGTGCATACGGAGGACATGATAACCTTTAGTCCTGGAGTTATATACAGTTGTGACTCACCACATGGGTAATGGAAACTGAACTCAGGTCTTCCCTAAGAGCGACCAGTACTCTTAAGCACTGAGCCAGCTCAGATCTTTATTTTATGTGTATGGGTATTTTGCCTACATGTATGTCAGTATACTACATGTGTGCCTGATGTTCACAGAAGTCAGAAGAAGCTGTTGGATCCTCTAACTAGAGTTATAGATGGTTGTGAGCTGCTAGAAATCGAACCCAGGTCTTTAGAAGAATAATTAAGCCATCTCTCCCACCCCTACATATTATGAATTTGAATAAACATTTTCCTAACTTATTTGTTAAAAAACCTCTGATCATTTTTGCACAAAACCACAAATCTCTAGATGTCAAGGAACTAGTTCTGGCATGTAGGTTCACTGTTTGCACATCATCAAACCACAGGCTGCACCTACCAGACGAAGGTTCTTTATCACCACCTCGTTAGCCAACTCCTGCTCCTTGAGCTCCACTTTCAGCACCCGCATGTCCTTGCGCAGGGCGCCCTCCTGTGTGCGATGCTCCTTCTGGGCCAGCTTCATGACTACGGTACCCTCAGCCTTCACCTCCGCCAGGTTGTTCTGGTGCTCATACAATAGGTGCTTTACTTTCTGTTTGTACACCTGCAAAGAGCGTGGGGTGGGGAGCCACATGCTCATCGGAGCACCAGTGCGTGCCCAGCTCACAGGCAGCTAAGTGGCAGAAGGACTGCAGAGGGCGACCTGCTCCTACTCCTGCCTTTCACAGAGGCTTCAATTCAAATACTCAGGACCCACAGGGCCTCTCCTGCTAGAAGATGAAACTGCTTTCCCTTCCTCTTCAGAGACTATTGGGAGGGTCTAACAGGAACACAGTGGACACTGTGACAGGTCATTCAGTTATAAAAAAAATAAATGAATAAAAACAATTAAAACCTTATATTCTTGTTTGTTTTGAAATGGGGACTTCCATAGCCCAGGCTGGCCTCAAACCAAAGTTGGCCTCGAACTCCTTGTTCTCTTGTATCTACCTCCCAAGTGCTGGGATTACAGGCAGGTACCACCACGCCTAGCTCTATGTTTTAAGTACTTTCCAATTTTGTTTGGCTGAATTCATAGGTGTTCTTAGCACACCTGCACTTAGACCTTACCATAGTCCTCCTTCACCAGAGTGAGTGGTCCTCTTCCACAGACCACACATGTAGCAGTACAGGAGGATTTGGATACTCACCTAGTCCAGGCTAATCAACAGAATCGATGCTGGTGATCAATGTGGTGACAAACGACACAGCCAAATCACCTTTGCAACCTTCCACGGACTCTTAGAAAAATTGCCTCTTGTTCCCAGTACAAAGAGCAACAAGCAAAGGAATATATTCCCAAAGGGAAACAGAAAATGTCCCCACCCAGACCCATCCTTGTGCCGCTGCACCATGACTCTGGTGGGCACAGACAGACCAACTCCACTCACCTTGATCTCCACTTGGTGCCTTTCCTCTGCCTCCTCCATCTCACGGTCTTTATTTCGAAGCTCAGCCTTCTTTTCCTCCAGTTGCCTTCTTGTGATCTCCCAGAAGGTGTGGATTTTGTCGCGCTCTAGCTGGAAGTAGTTGCGCTCCTCTCGCTCTCGGTCCAGCTCCTCCCGGATGCGGGCAACATGTTCCTCTACCTGACCAGGCACAGGGCATCAAATGAGGTACCCTGCAGGAGCCCATCCACCATCAGTGTGTGGAACAAGGGAAGCAGGGAAGAAAAAGGGAGGGACCATTTTACTAAAGTTAAAATACAAAGCAGGAAGGCTCCAGAGACAGTAAATAGCAAAAGTCTCTCAAATTTGGGAAAGAATTACAAAACAATTGTATCTGTTAAGCAACTCCTCAATTCTTTTAAGAAATTTCTCAAGCTAGGCAATGATATTGTATGCTTTTAATCACAGCACTTGAGAGACAGAGGCAAGGAGATCTCTGTGAGTTCCAGGCCAGCCCGGTCTACAGAGTGAGTTCCAGGACAGCCAGAAATGTTTCACAGAGAAACCCTTTCTTGAAAAAAACAAAAACAAACAAAAAAGAAATTTCTCAAAAGAAACACAATCATTATTTTTGTTCAAAGATATTATTCCCATTGTTATTATCTACAAAAAAAAACTTTAAAAGGAAATAATCTAAAATTTTAAATAGGAAAATGGCTGAAAATTAGAATACATCAACTCTAAGAGATATAAAAATTACACAGAAGCAAATAAATGTCTCCACAAAAGGTTAAAAATAAAAAGGCCACTGGAAATACTTACTATTAAAAAATTATATAAACTAGTGGCTCTTTGCACTCAACAGCCTTTGGTCCAAAGCCAACTATAAATCTGCAAATAGGTTAAGGAAAAAAGTAGGACAGGCTTCCAGATTTCTCGAGCTCTTGCTTCCCCTGAGAATTAGTTATCTTTAGCCACAGTCCCAAGACAGTTACTGTGAAATATTTTCTCTCTCAAGATACATTCCACACAAGGAGACCATATTTGTCATTTCAACAAACAAGACAACAAGCAGACAAGTGGCTCTGAGGAAGGATGCGAGGCAGGGGCTAGGTGCCTATGGGGGAACATGGTATCATTCATATTGATAGTGTCTGACAAGTGTCTTCACATCATGGGCCTTTGGTGACACTCAAACAGTCACAAACAGATCCCTGCTCTGCTTGGCTCATATCATGTCAGAGTTTGTTATCAACAGCAATTTGGATTTCTTAAAATATTCAAATTTCTAGCTTCTCTTAAAAACTCAAAAAGCTAAGAACACCAGAGAGTACAGGGGCTGGAGAGATGTCTCAATGATTAAGAGCACTGACTGTTCTTCCAGAAGACCTGAGTTTAATTCCCAGCACCCATTGTGGCAACTAAACTGACTAACTCCAACACCTTCACACAGACATACATGCAGGCAAAACACTGATGCAAATAAAATAAAAATAAATTATATATGTATAATTTATTTGATAATTTATTGTATGTATACAAATACACACACACACAAAATCACCAGAGTTCAATACTCACAGGGCAACCACCCTGTGAACTGACTACAAATAAAAACCCAGTCTTGTCTTCCTACTGAACTCTCTTCCAAGACTGCTTCAAACATATAGTACGTGGAGGCCAGCCCCTGCTCTGCAGACTGTGTATGTATTAGGAACTTAGTGTACTAGAACACTAAAACATTAAGGTCCAGTCTCCAAATATGTAAAATAAGCAGGGTACAAGAAACAGGTCAGGACAGCCTGAAATTCAGTCTATTTTCCATCCATCCATTCATCCATCCATCCCAGTCATTTTCCTGTACATAAAATGAAACACTCATGGGAGTAGAAAGATGGTTCAGGGTTAGAAGCACTTGTTGCTTTTGCAGAGGAACAAGATCCCGTTCTCAGCACACACAAAGTAGCTAACAATTATCTATAAATTCAATTCCAGGCCACCTTCTGGCCTCTGTAGGCACTGCACAAACAAAACACACATGCATACATGCTGGCAACACACACACACACAAAATAAAAATGAATGAGTGAATGAATTTTTTTTTTAAGTTAAGGTTTCTCTGTATAGTCCTGGCTGTCCTAGAACTCACTCTGTAGACCAGGATGGCCTTGGATCCACAGAGATACATCCACTTTTGCCTCTCAAGTGCTGGGATTAAAGGAGAATAAATATTTTGCAATATATATTTTGCATGCATGTCTGTGTACCATGTGCATGCTTGGTGCCTGTGAAGGTCAGAGGAGAGCATCAGATATCCATTCCTGGGCCCCCTGGAATTGGAATTACAGATGGTTGTGAGCTACTATGTGGGTGCTGGGAATCAAACCTGAGTCCTCTGCCCAAGCTCTTAACCAACAAGCCACCTATCCAGCTCCTAAAAATATAGTTTAGCCAAGTGGTGGGAACACACACCTTTGATCCCAGCACTCAGAAGCAGAGACAGGAGGCAGAGGCAGGTGGATCTCTGAGTTCCAGGACAGCCTGGGCTACAGACAGAGAAACCCTGTTTGGTGCCCATGTACAATATGAGAAATCATACTAATAAGTCCATCTCAAGGATCAGGATTTACTTTATTTAATAGGAATTTCATGTTAAAGAAAAGAAAAAACATTTAAAGTAAAAATACAGCTATGTAAAGTAGCATGTAAGGTCAGTGCTGCAGATGATAAAAGAAATTAAACAGACTACAAAGATAGAGAAAATTTATTAAAACATGCTGTAAGCAAGTAGTACACAAGTTCCCAGAGAGGTCTCACGTGGCTTGGGGCAAGTGCAAGTTTTTTATGGTAGTTCAGGGGGATGTTACTTGGTCTTATCTCTGTAGCCATTTGTGTGAGATCCATATCTGGGTACAAGGGTTTGTGTGGATATCTCACTGTCTTATATGTAGTAAATTTACTGCACAGATTGTTTTACTTGAGACTGGCCAGCAGAGTACAATATCACAGGTCAGTAGATGTTAGGCTCCAACTGTCTATATACCATATCACATACGTCACTAGGAGACAGGCACCAAGTGGTCAAGCCTGGTTGCTAAAGTAAGGGAATTTTGCTCTTATTTTTTGGCCTTTTGCCTCTGAAATCACCAATACTCAACCCTTGTCCAACTCCAATTTTAGCTTATATTACTCAATCTCCTTCATATTATCTCAAACTATTAAAATAGTAAATCTTATTAACACAATTATATATATCCCTCCAGTCTTGTGTGAAAACCTCACAAGGCAGCTATGATGAACACAAACCCAGGCAGATATACCATGTTTGTCACATGTTGTAGCTTCCAAGAGCCTTGTAAATTTTATAATTATGTCTTCTAGCCATATATATATGTATATATATATATATACACATATATATACATATATATGTCTGTGTGTATACACACACACACACATATATATATATATCTATATATATGTGTGTGTGTGTGTGTATCTGGCTTAAAATAACTTGTATAAGGACATTACCTCCCCGAGTTAAATCTTCAACACTACCAAAAAATAAAATAAAGATATCACCCCAGAATCAGGGGTAGAGTTCAGTAGTATAGCATGTGCCTTAACAAAAAAATTCACACAAAGGAAGAAAACCTCCATCAAACTCAGTACAGTCAATAAGAAAGAGGCAGCTCCAACAGGACTACTCCTTGTTAGAAGTGTTGTCAAAAATAAAACAGTGAGGGGCCAGCAAAATGGTTCAGCAGGTAACGGTACCTGCTGCCAAACCCGAGTTCAATCCCAGACCCAGAACCAACTCATACAAAAGAAAAACAATAATTTCTGGCCAGGCTTTTGTGACATACACCTTTAGTTCCAGCACTCGAGGCAGAGGCAGGCAGATCTCTATGAGTTTCAAAGCTGGCTTGGTCTACAGAGCGAGTTCCAGGACAGGCTCCAAAGCAAAAGAGAAACCCTGTCTCCAAAAACAAACAAAAAAAAATTTTTTTTTCAAAAACAGTGGATGATTAATTAAATTGAGACATTACAATTTTAAATAAGTCATGTTCCTTTTAAAACTTTCCTCGACTCCCTCCCTCCCTCTTTCCTGCTGTTCCTCTGAAGGGGCAGACAGGACTTTTCCTGTCTCTCTCTCCCACTCTTTCTCTTCTCTTTCCCCTCTTCCTTTCCTTTCTCCCCTTCCCTCTCCCCCAATAAAACTCCCTTCTTAGAAAACAAACCTGCCTCTTTTTTCTCCTTCCTTTTTGGATGTTTGAAACAGAACCTCTCTGTGGCTTTGTCTGTCTTGGAACTGCCTATGTAGATCAGACTGGCCTTGAACTTGCAGAGATCCACCTGCCTTTGCCTTCCAAGGCATGAGCCATCACACCAGGCTAAAAACTTTTTGCTATAATGTTTACTGGCAAACAAAGAATGGCATATACGTATCAGCTCTATGAACAACAGGTACATAAAAAAGATAAGAATGAAAGAAAATACACAAAGTTAAAAATAGCTATTATGTTCCAAGGGATTGGGGGACTCCTTCCAAGTTCCTATTAACGTTTCTTCACATGGATGTATTGCATTTTTAAAAAATATGTAATGTGGAGGTGATGGAAACTACAGATACAGAACAGGCATATTATGTATGGACAGACTGAGAGGAGATGGACAAGCAGAAGAGTGGGATAAGTTTACCAACACATTTGTCACAGTGCCCCCCTGGGACCAGACAACAAGGCCATGCTTACCTGCTCCTTCGTCATGTCCTCTGGTGCGAGCCCATCAACAACCGAATTGCCTTTGGCTTTGCCTTTCTTCCCTTTCTTTTTGGGTGCCTTTGTTTGAAAGAGAGATGACTGAGTAAGTAAAGGCCTATCTACCTAATGCCATCCCCCTTGACTACTTGCTTACATGAGCATTAGGGGAAGGTACACCCATCTAGAATCACACACTGCTGATTGGAGCACTCACTAGAGGGCATCACTATACTTACCCCCTCTCCACAAACACACTGTGAACCACATATACATGGGGGGGGGGAGGGATGGGGAAGGGAGATCGCTAACACATTTGGAGAAGCACAAAAAAGAAATCTTCCTCTTCAGAAAAGACCACTTTCTCTTCCCAAAAGGGAAAGAGGAAGAATTCACTCCAAACCCTTTCACTCCTGGACATAGGGCAAAGATGTCTTTGGTGTGGTTAATTTTGTTTTGTTTTTTTCCAATAAAAATTCATTTAGGAGAGAAGGAGAGTGTTGAGGGAAGGAATAAGGGGAAAGAAAGCTAAAATTAAGGAGCATTCGAAGCACAGCATGGAAGCGTAAAAGAACTTATCTGGGCTAAAAAAAGGAGGAATGTTTTTTTTTTTTTTTTTTTTTTTTTTTACCCTACAGTATGTTGGCTATCATGCAAGGAACATCAATAAGTATAGAGAGTTTGCCTTTTAGCTAAGATCTAGTTCTTATGAGTATAAATGTAGAAGGGGTGAACTCATGGCAATAACTAAATCTCAGGCTTCATTTCCCCCAAATTTAAAACTACAGCGAACTCTAGTCAGGAGAGCCCAAAATGCACACTAGTGTCTGCAAAAGTGTCTCCAGAAGAAACTGCTCACTGCTTTATTTTAGCGGCTTTGATAAGGTCATAAAAGCTTCCAGGGAAAATTCAATAGCAGTTAATATTCGCGATGTTTCCAGCCAGGAGCTCCCACAGGGAAAAGCCACCCCGCCTCTTGGCACACCTGTCAAGAATCTGCATTAATGACAACACCTGTATCCTAAAGGGAAGGGCCTCATTATATGAGTAAGGTCTAAGGAGCCTGAGGTCTCTGTAAACCCAAGGTGATGGGTGATATCCTGATCAAGCTGTGACACTCGACCCTCTCCACACCCCTTGTTAGAGAGGGACCTCTAGCCACCATGGTATGCACCAGGTTCTTCACCTCTGAGACAGAGTGTCTGTCCCGAGGGTTTCTCCTGAGCCGGACTGTGCTCCTGTGAACCCTTAAGTGCCTCAGAGCCCATATGAGATGGAATCCTAGATCTCAAGGATTTGGCGGACTCAGCTTCTGACTTCTGGTCACCTTGCACACCAGGCTCTCAGTCTGATAAATTTGGTGACCATCCCAGAGAACAGCAGAGCTAAACCTTAGCTCAAGTGTATGCAGGCCCCGGCATCCTGGCCTCTCAGACTGGAGCCTCACAGAAGTTCTCAATTGTAGTAATCCAAAACTGTAGACCGCTAATCCCAGGCCTCTCAGTCCCCGGGACCCGACCCTATCCGCACTTCTGCGCGAAAGTCCCCTATTCACCCCAAATTCTCTGTGCACCGGAGACCCAGAGCACCAGCCCAACTCACCATGCTGCCTGCAGTCTAGCACCTATACTACTCCGGGATAGGCGCTGGTCTACGGAGGCTGCGTTGTCTCCTGGCAACCCGAACGAGATCCCGCGCTGGTTCTCAAATCCTCGCGAGAGTCTCCTTAGTGCTGCCGCCCCACGAACCCCAGAGACCTCGACGACGGGGAGTGCGTCCCTAACGACGAGCCAGAAGGGGAGATAACAGCTGACGGCTACCCGGTGTTGCCTTCAGTGTATCACTGGTCTCCTTCCCGCTAGAACTTGAGCTACAAAAGAGACGGCTGTGCTTCCTTCGGTTCTCCAGAGTCTACATTGCGGGCACTCAGGGAAGAATAGAAAAAAAATAGATGGGAAGAGGGAGACACACACACGGGGGGCGGGGGGGAGAGGGAGAGAGCGAACGAGCACAGAGAGGGAGACAGAGACACAGAGACAAAGACAGAGAGAGAGGGAGACGGAGACAAAGACAGAGAGAGAGGAGGGAGAGAGACACAGAGACAGAGAGAGACAGAGACAAAGACAGAGAGACAGAGAGAGAGAGAGAGAGAGAGAGAGAGAGAGAGAGAGAGAGAGAATGTGAAAATGCCTGAATGATTATTCTGCCACCCAAGCTCCGTTCCCAAACTGGATTCAAATAAGAGCCCGCTCCTGCGATTCATCCACTTTGTCCTGCTTGTGAAAATTCCTTTCACATACTGCCCTGATGAGGCTGAAAATGCATAGCTGGACTTTCAGAAACTCGAGAAAGAAAGAGAAAGGCTGGGGGTGTTATCTTATGCCTGTCATCACTGCACTGGGGAAGCTGGAAGAAAACTGCATGGGTTCAAAGCTAGCCTTGGCTACATAGTTCTAATCCAGCCAGAAATGTGGGTGGGGCAAGAAAAAAAAGTGGCTTAGCACGCTGACTTTCCTGGTTTCAGTCCCCAGAAACAGAAAGAGCAGCAAGTCACACATTGCTGTCTGCTCTATGGATGAAGATTCCACGACCATAACTGGATGCAGGCGTCCACATCCAACCAGGAGAGAAAGGCTTGCTCAGTGGTGGGGATCTGGGAGTCATAGCAATGAGTTCTTCCTGCTAGCCTACCCACCCACCCCACCCCACTCCAACCCCCACCCCTCACCCCTGCCCCCTCCCTCGTGCGAGGACTCTCTCTCTCTCTCTCTCTCACACACACACACACACACACACACCAACAGAGATTCTTGGAAAAGAATGGCCAGCTGGAAGAACAGCACTGAATCCTTATGAACGCTCAGCTCTAACAGTGACTTATTTATAGTAAATCTTAACAAAGAGCCAACATGACTGCCAGACTGTCTGTCAGTGAACTCTAAGGTGAACACAGAGGGGCAAGGGGTTAGGAGTCTCCCGGAGATTGACATGGGACAGTGAAGTAGCAGAGTCAGTAATTACTTAGCACTTACCCACAACAGGATAGGTGCTTCAGGCTGATTTGCATTTTTTGTTTCATTAGTCTATTGGGGAATCCTGAATTAAATAAATGTATTAACAATCCCTTTCAGCTGGGTGGCACACCCCTCTAGTTCCCAGCGCTTGGGAGGCAGAGGCAGCCAAATCTCCCAGTTGGAGGCCAGCCTGATCTACAGGGTGAATTCCAGGACAGCCAAGGCTATACAGAGAAACCCTGTCTCAAAAAAAAAAAAAAAAAAAAGAACCCACTTGGTTGTCTAAATAAACTACCACACCCCACTGCATCAATACATTGAAGGTGTGAATATTGGTGTAACAAAACTGGTCTTTATTTTAGAAGTAAATGTTGAAATATTTGAAAATGAAAAGAATGATGTTTATAGGAATTTGCTTCAGAACAATTCAGTGTAGAAGAAGGTGGCTGAACACAGAGACCTGGTTACTTGTTGGGTTGGGGTTACAGGGGATCTTATGATGCCATTCCTCCCTACTGTGTGTTTTGAGAAGGTCCTTCATGGAAATGCAAAGATAAAACAGACACTGACCTCAAAAAGCATATCACCTATCAATAACCAGCATGGGAATCTTTGACAAGAGCTTGTTTCTTTCATTTATTCATCTTTCAAATGGAAATCACCACTGAACAAAACTTGCTGTTAACAGATATTGACTGTGGGGTGGAGAGCTGACTCAGCAGGTAAGAGTACTGACTGCTCTTCCAGAGGACCAGGGTTCAATTCCCAGCATCCACATGACAGCTCACAACTGTCTGCAACTCCAAGGTCTGACACCTTCACATACAGACATACACGAAGGTAAAACACCAATTTGAGAACACACACACACACACACAGACTAACAAGGAACCCTAAAGCACAGAGACAATACAGTGACCAAATTGGTTTTGCTCATGATTCTGAAACTTGTCTCTGACTTAAGGGGGCAACCTACCCAGCGCCCTCATCACTCCCCCTCCTGGAAAACCCAAAAGTAGCACCTGGAACCACCTGAGTAGGCCAGCTGATGGCTGGGATCTCAAAGAGAATGTCAGCATGAATGTACACAGGTAGAGTCTGGGTAGCCTGGTTTTCTCACCACATGGTGACTTGGTTTTTACAGGAGTCTTCCAATAAAGCTGGACTTTTTTTTTTTTTTTTCTTCTTTTATGACCTAGCCTTGGAAGTCACATGGTATCAAATCTACCACATTCCACTGGCCAATGCAGTTACAGGCTCTGACAGCACTGAAGCCAAAATGTCTTGATGGGAATGGTTCTGGAAGAAACACTACCAGTGTTTTTTGAACTGTTTGTCTGTTGAGACAGGGTCCCATGGGCAACCAAGGCTCACCTCAAAACTGCCTTGTAACAGAGGATGACCTTGAACTCCTGTTGCACCACGGTCGGCTCCATGACATTTTGACTGCCATAGTATTTTGGAAAATGCAGCATGCTGCCCCAGCTGACTAGGAGTGACCTATGCCCAGACACTGCGATCAGTGGTCACTCATGCTAACTCTATACCCTAGCTTAGCCCCAGGGAGGGAAGTAATGACCAAAGAATGACCATTGACTCAGCTAGTCCTGGTGGAGCTTCAGAGGGCTTTAACCAGCAGGTGGATGTGCTTCCTTGTTTTGTAAAATAAATAAAAAGAGAACTATTAACTTTCTGGAATTGGCCTTCAGGATCAAAGGCCACAGACTACCCAGTGTCCACTAGATCTGGGCAGGAAGCCAGAGTTTTGACTCAGACCCGCCTGAATGAATGAAGCTGTTTGACTACTGTCCTTCTACCCATCAATTTTGCCCAAAGAAGGACCAAATTTACAAAATTTATCTATCTGTTCATACTCTTCTCAGCCTTTTCAGCTATGAATAACTCATTCTCCCTGATTATTTTATTTATTTGTAAAAGAGCAAAAGGGTTTTAGGTTGGGCCTTCTGACTTCTAGCCCTGAATGTGCAACCTGGGGAAAGTTACTGCCTGTCTCTGAGCTCAGCATCTTCAGATGTCTAGAAGGAGTAAGGAGATAGTGTGTGTTTTAGGGATACTATTGCTGCGATGAAATGTCATGACCAAAACAACTTGGGGAGAAAAGGGTTTATTCGGCTTACACTTCCATATCACAGTTTACCACCAAAGGAAGTCAGGGCAGGAACCTGGAGGCAGCAGCTGCTGCAGATGCCATGGAGGAACTTGGCTCCCTCCTCATGATTTACAGAGACTACTTTCTTACACAACCCAGAACCACCAACTCAGGGATGGCACTACCCACAATGGGCTGGGCCCTCCCACACCAATAATTGATTAAGAAAATGCCCTACAGCTGGCCATTGTGAAAGCATTTTCTTAATAAAGGTTCCCACTTCTCAGATGATTTCAGCTGGTGTCAAGTTGATGTAAAACTATGCAAGCAGGCCTGGTGCAGGACTAGACTTCAGAGATGGGACTCCAATTGGGGGACTCTCGATATATACGAGGCCTCGTTTATCCAGGTCACTCCCATCCCCCAACCCCACCCCGTCTTGAACTCTCAATATGGATTCATTTAGCATTAATTAGATCTATAATTCCAGGCTTATAAACTGAGGGGTTCGGTGATGCTTTGGCCCTTCAGCTGCCTCCTCACCTATCTCCGCCAGGCGCCTCACGTACTTGGTGCCCCATAAATGCCTGTGAATAAATGGACCAAAGCCCCCTAGCTTGTCAGGGCGCAGGAGCCCTGAACTGCGGTGGCAAGCTGGGTACGCAAAGGGCTACTATCTATGTCTGTGCTAGAGGGGATGTGGGGATGGGGGTTGTTGGCCAGGTCTGCAGGGGGCGCCCGAGGAACAGGGCGGGGCCGCACCTGTGCTGCTGGCTGCTAGAAATGGGGAGGGGACCGGCGCCCGAAGCAGCTGCGCGCCCCGCCCCGCGGGCTCCTCCCCGCCGCCGCGGCCCCTTGGCTGCTGCCCCGATGCGCTGCTCCGGAAGCCTGGACCCAGTCAGTAGTCGCCAGAGCAGTTGGGATACCCGGGCCGGCTCCAGCCGCCGCTGCCCACACCCCTCGCGGACCCCATTGGCCGCATGGAGTCCCCGGAGAGCGCTGGTCGGGGAGGTGAGTCGGATCCACGTCCCTAGAACCCCAGCAACAAACCGCAGCCCCTCCCTCTGCCTACTGGCCCGCTGCTCCCGCGGCCTGGAGACCGGCGGGTGCCTCAGGAGCCCGCCTGTCCGACTCATAGCTAGAGACGGAGGAGGGGGCCGGTCCAGCGCCTTGAAAACCTGCGGGGACCCGGCTCGGGAAGCACAGACTGCGTCTCTTCCCCTGCTCTTCGAGCTCCGGGTTCAGGAAGCCTTGCTAACTGCCCTCCCAGGCGATGGCGAGGGGGTTCGCCCTGAGCCCCCTTACTAGTCCAGGCTGGGAGTGGGGGGGAGGGGCGTGCCGGGACCGGAGTTAGGGTCTGGAGAGGCAATCGGTGGGGATGATGCTACCGCTTGTTCGCGCGTAGGCTTTGTTCGCCCCAGCGGCGAAACCAGGAGGAATGACAAGAGGCGGAAGGGGGCCTGGGGCTCCCGGCTGAGCTGGGGTTTTAGTGAGGTCA